AACTGGTAAGAGTACAATATACCATCCCGAAACATCTAGAAACTAATTGCCAGAGTAGCTTAGAATTCCATCAAAGTAACTAGAACTTGTCTAGAGGGATACCAGCTGAAGCTAGGATCAGACTCTACCTCCATACCATGAATCTATACATGACATAGCAGTAGCCATATAGTCTTAGAGCCAGAGGTTGGCAGGATAATATCTCCACCTCAGTCAGTCCGTGACATGGAAAACGGCCTTTTGCTCGCGTCAAGACTTATATGAGTGGCTAGTTTGTCCTTTCGGATTGTGTGGAGCTCCAGCAACATTTCAACGTTTCATTAATAGCACTCTGTAGGAATTTCTAGATATATTCTGCTCGGCATATGTTGATGATGTTATAGTCTATTCAGACGGAGACCTAGAAGACTATTACCAGACAGTGTCAAAAGTAATGAATGCACTAAAAACAGCGGGTCTGCAGTTGGACCCTGAAAAATGTGCTTTTAGGGTAACAAAAATAAAATACTTAGGTTTCATCATCAAAGCAGGAGTCAGCGTCAAAGTAGACCCCCATAAAGTGCAAGCAATTGCTGAGTGGGAGGAGCCAAATAATGTGTCATAAGTACGCTCCTTTCTTGGGTTCTCAAATTTTTACCGGGAGTTTATTCCTCGTTTTTCTTCGATATGTGAACCACTCAATAATCTAACCAAGCGGGGTGTGCTATGGAGATGGGATAAACCCCAAAAGGACACATTTATGCGACTAAAGGAGCTACTTATGAGCACACCAATCCTCACAATGTTTGATTCTGAAGCTGAAACCCTGTTGGGAGCGGACTAATCAGGTTATGCTATTGGAGGAGTATTATCACAAGTAGATGAAAAGGGTCGCCTTCGACCTGTGGGATTCTTCTCCAGAAAATTGTTGCCAGCTGAAGCTAACTATGAATTTATGATAAAGAAATGTTATCTATTGTTGCTACTATGAGACACTTCAGAGGTAAACTTAGAAGCGTTAGTAAACCTTTTATAATTTTATCTGATCATCGAAATTTGCAGTATTTCATGACAAAGCACCAACTATCAGAACGCCAAGTCCGATGGGCAGAAGAGCTCTCAGGCTTCAATTTTAATGTAAAATTTAGACCAGGCTCATATTCTGCAAAGCCTGATCTCCTTTCTAGAAAAGCTGAGTACAAGCCTAAAGATTTTAGTGACGAAATTTTCGAAAAAGAGAATTTCAACTCCTAAAAAGCAACTGGTTATTGCCCAGTTGTGAAGAGGAAGAATTTTCATCTTCCCTAAGTCTCTCAGTAGTGGTTACTAGACAACAGGCTAGGCCCTGGGAAGAAGTTAGGGAAAAAGCTATGTCCAAGCGTATCAATGAGTCATCCAGCCCCCCCATCCCCCAAAGGTCCCCTGTTACGGTTTGACCGCTGTTTGAGCTTAGGTGAATACCTAAGCAGATTGTTGGGAATATTTACAACAAGGCTGCATGGGGGGGATAGATGAAGCTGAACATGGCGGCACTACTAGTCAGGAGGTCGAAGCGTTATTACAACTAAGTAAAACCTGGCAATGCGTGGCTGGGTTGTTATGCTCAGCTATGTAGTATGGTAGATCTAGTAGCTGGTGCATAGGTAGTTATTATGGCAGCATGGCATCATGGCACATGAAGGAGATCCAGTCTCTACATAACGACATTACAAGTAGGAATGTGTGCAGTATGAGAGATGGGTTGTTGATATAGGATAAATGGCATGGCTACTCAGTTGGTTGCACACTTTGGTGAGCTGCATACTGGTAACGTGATTGGTCTACAGGGAAACAAGCTAGGGGATAAGGGACGAGCTTCCCCCAATCTGTGACATAATAATTATCATAGTCACTTCACTTCTGCACATCAATGAAGACATCTCTCCACATACTGTCTTAGCTGTTCCAGCGCAAGTGTACATTCCCATTTCATATACCAAGTAAAACATGGGTAGCAAGTATTGTGCCTAAGGATAAGTCATCAGTCTGGAGATTGACGAAGGGGACCAATTCTTATAAATACCTGTTAGTTGTAGCTAGAATTCTCTTTTCTCCTCATATAGTTTAATAAATCGATTTATTTGCAACCAACTCGGTTTCTGTCACATCCCCCTAAAGGAAATCAACTATTTGAAGAGCTCGAAATGCAAAAACTCTGGAATAAAGCAGTAAATGAAGACCCTCCTTTCCTCGACGTTTATACGAGCCTAGGAAATGAGGATCGCGCACTACCAAATTCTATTGGAAACTTGATGCAAATAACAGATTGTTCTTTCGATGAGAAACACGCTTTAATGTACTGTGGTGCCTTGTGGGTCCCAAACTGGGAACCTCTACGCACTACATTAATTCAAAAAGTGCATAATCCTCATATGACAGGCCATTCAGGCCGGGAAATAACATTATCTATTCTCTCACGAAGCTTTCTCTGGCCTCAACAATACAAGGATGTTAAAGGATTTGTGAAGAATTGCCACATATGCGGTAGATCAAAAGTTTGGCGTCAGTCTTCAAGTGGTCTGCTGCGATCACTGCCAATACCAGAACAATTTCACAGCAAGTTAGCCATAGATTTCATGATCGATTTACCTACAACAGACAATAAGGAAAGATTTCTTATGGTTATATATGATAGGCTCCTTGGTAGTGCTTCATTAGAAGCCATGGACACAATGGAAGCAGAGGCTTGTGCAGAGAAATTTATTCTGAGCTATTGGCACTATCATGGTTTTCCCAACTCTCTAACATCAGACAGACGCTCTAACTGGGTCGGTCACTTTTGGAAGAGGCTTTGCTAGTGTGTAGGTATTCAACAGCGACTATCAACAGCATTTCACCCACAGACAGATGGAGGTACTGAGAGAATGAATCAAGAAGTGCTAACATACCTCCGCGCTTATATCTCTTATGCCCAAAATGACTGGGCAAAACTTCTCCCACCTGCAATGGTCGCTATAAATAATAGAACTAGCTCAAAGACTGTTTTCAGTCCATTTTACTTAACTCATGGTTATCACCTTGAGCTCATTCAGCGCCGTTAAACACCATCTAGCCCGAGTAAAACCCCAAAAGCAAGAGCCAATGTGTTACGGTTTGACCGTGGTTTAGCTTAAGCGGAGACCTAAGCGGGGTTTGGGGGCGCATTAGAGAGAGTGTTACATATTATCTTGTATCAAGCAACTAAGTTTCACTTGGCCACATTACATTAAAGCTAGGAAGGAATGTGAGACAGCGAAGTAGAATTGCCGAGTGAGAGGGTCAGCTAGATGGCAAAGATGAAAACGGGCAGTGGCGAAGCAATATGTCATTCTCACCAACAGAGTACATATTGGATGAGCTAGAAGGATGTACAAATAGTCATTGCCCGTAGTTGTGATACTTCTCTCTTCATATAGTTTAATCTTTCTAAAAGTACACTACAACCAGCTTGGTTTCGTCACACAATGCCTTCATAAACTGCCTTCACGAGGGTTAAGAATTTGCAAAAGCTGCAATAACAACAGCCCAAAAAATTATGGAGCATGTTGAATTAAAAGAGCGTTGGTCAAACATGATTATCCCTGTACCTTAACATAACGGAGTTATAGTTGTGATTATTATTATTTTTTTTTTTTTTGCATCAGATTTAATTGCGTTAGCAGCTATCTAGCTATGACACAATATCAGAGAAAAGTACAGAAAACATGACTCAATTTAGAAGAGGAGCACTCATGCCTCGGATTTCAATTGCAAGTACCACTGCAAAGTTATGGTAGCTTTTTCTTCACCTCAAGTCAACCCTCATCTGTGAATACCCACTCAGGGGAACGTCTCAAAAACCCTGAGTTATCCAGACATGCCTCCGTCATCCATCAGATATTCTCCGCGCGAAATGTAATATGAGATGTCTCCTTCCCAAGTGGAGTAGGTGCCCAGGCTACTCAAACTATACCAGTGAACACCACCAGGAAGCGAACCACAACACCTTCCATTGTTTGCTTGTTTTTATAGTGTCAGCTGCACTCTCGCAAGCGAAGTCTTGGTGCGCACAAAGCTCAATCTGTAAAACTCTTGCTAAAATTCGAAATTTCACGCCCGTCGAAAATGTATCCCTCTTCTGCATCATCTTGTTAACTTGTCCATATCCCTCTCACGTCCATCCCAAAGAACTTTCTTCCAGATTTGTGCGCCACGCTTTGCTTCCTCCAGCGGGTGTAAATATTGACGTGGGCGTGTATCTGACAACCAGCTGAGGCCAGAGAAAGTCGAAGAGAGGTGTGGTCATTGTGATGAGGATGTACTAGGTTGTACTTGTAGACTTAATGAGGCGTAGGTAGGAGTGTTAAGGTTATGAGTCATATGGGAACATAGTTACTTGTCACTTGTTATGTCTGATTGGAGTATGTAGAGGATGTGTTTGACAGATTTCAATACTTTCAGAAGTATGAATATATGCTATCTTATATACATCTGTATGACCCATATCATAGTCTTAGTTCCATCTCGTGATTGACTATCTATAGTAATCACATTACCAATCCAGCGCTCATGAATCCACGGTTCATGAGCGGCCATCGCTGCTCCTGCGGCTCTCGTATATCCTCCGCTTGCCAGTCGCATCACTGCTCCTATAATCGCAGCTCAGTACCCTAGTTGAGCGCCCCTGAATAGCTGATCAAGGGGCGACCTGTTAAGGTTATGAGTTAATTGGGAACATAGTTACTTGGATGTGTCACAATGTTTGTTCAGATGGTTTGATACTTGGTAACTTGATTGCTGGCAGGTGTCCGATACTTTTCTGATACTGTACATGAGACAGAACATAGAATACTTATATACTCTAATATGACCCTTGTCATTGTCTACGCTCTCTCTCCTGACTTACTGCCAACAGCGTGCCTGGGTAAAACTCTGCAGCTCATGAGTCCATCTCTCATGAGAGGCATCCGCTGTTCCGGTGGCTGGCGCGCGCGGTCCGAGTACGCATTGCTGCAATGCCTCAATCACTTACGTGTAATATTCCAGCTGAGCAATCCTGAACCTAGCTGTTCAGGAACGACAGCAATCCAGTCCATGGCTCGCGCCTGTGGTTTGTATACACACCACAGCGTCGCTCCAATCGTTCCCATACAATGTCTCAGCTCTGCAGTCCTTAGTCCATTACTCAGGAGCGGAAGCAGTTGTATGGTTCCGGTAGCGTGCAAGGTCTGCATGTACCTCAGGGCGCTATTCCGTAATTGTCCGGCAATATCGAACCGCTTATGGCTAGCGCACGTAGTCAGTAGACCCTTCACGTCGCTTCCCCAATTGTTGCCTTGCAATGACTCAACCCGGTGCTCCCAAGTCCGAGACTCAGGAGCGGCAGCGGTTGTATCCATGGTCAACGCACAATGTGCATATGCACCTGTTGGCGCAGAGCCGGTCATTGACGAGCGAAAGTACAACACGACTGTACTGGTTTCCTTTAGTGACACTCGAGATACACCTGTACACTCGATGCTGTTGCATATACGCTGAGTGGTACCCAACCCCTTGCGGCTAGCACTTATATTCCAGGGGCTTATGGTGTCGCTACCCCGATTGCTTCCATGTATAGTTTTTACCTGGGCGCTCCCGCGCCCGAATCTTGGTGGCGAGCAGTAGATGTGCATGTTGTAGTGCTAGGCGTGGGTTTGCAACTTCGGTACCATGACCGTTATTTGTCGGTACTATCTCAACAAGGAGTCAAGCTCTTTGGGAGCGAAAAAACGACGTGGTGGAGTAATTTAAATCATTGCCTCGTGTGCCAACTTCTTTGATATTGCGAAATTTGACTGAACTTGGCTCTGGGAGAATATTTCACTCCCAGGTTTGTAGAGGCACCGTGCACAGATGTTCAGTCTTGCCCTCCTTGTGATTATTATTTGCATAGGAGTAAAAAGGGTAAGGCGTTTGGAGATCTTATATACCCTGTATTAGTAGTTCCATATTTGCGTGTAGATGAGCCTAGTAGTGGAATGTTGGTACGAGCTAGGCTGCAGCATTATTAGGGAATGCTGAGACCGTAGAAATAATACACTTTTGTTTAACCCTATACTTTATAGAATCTACTTCCAGCCACACTGTTCTATCCATCTAAAGGAATCATAATCTAACAGGTTACAACCCCAGTTTGCCATAGAATTTGATAAAGCAAGGTTACACGTCTACTCGCATTTATTTGCACTCACACGCACTCACACAAAATCACTCGCAATTATCTGCATCTACCCACATCAATTTGTAGACACTTGTTTCGACTCACATAGTCAACCTCAGCCGCGTACAAACCAATTGAAAAGGCACACAGAAGCTAATACAGCAAATAAAATGGCCGATGATAGCTGAGAGAAGGGAACCGGTCTTTGGAAACTAGTACCAGTGTTGACTAAAGCAAGTAAAATAGAATGGTTTCAACTAGTCGAACAAGTACTTGAAGGTGATGGGATACAATGGTTACTAACGCATACTAACAGAGAGTACGTGCATATCAGAGATTCATCAAGGAAAAATGAACCCAAAGCAGGTTGGCTATCATATACCGCATAAGAAGAAGGTTCATTAATCAAATGGTGGATTCTTCCAGAAGAGGATATGCAATACAAAAAGGCCCAAATAAACTTTCGCCTCAACATCCAATTAAAGATATCTGGAACAGATAAGGATATGATGGATGAGAAAATAGGCATACCCGCGCAGTTCGCTTTACTAAAAAATAGGTACAAGCAGACTACATACACTTCCGGACATAGCATGATTGTAGCTTTTACTACTTGGGAAATGAATGTTGAACTTAGCCCCTCAACTAACTACACACAATTAAGCAAGCTGAGAAAGGAAGTTCATCAGTTCTCATCCGGAACAAAATTCTCGATTGATTTTATGTGGATTTTATTTGTTGCCGGACTTTGTCCAAGGCACAAATATATGACCCTGACTGAAGGTTTTCCCCAGAATATGTTAGCCACCGAGCGCCTTGATAGGCTAGATGAAAAATGGACTTATCTACAAATGGAAGCGCGCGGTAACAAAAGAGCCTTTCAAGCAAAAATGAAAGATAGTGGAATCCATACCAACGGAATGGGTAGTACAGATTTTGGATATTCAGCTCAGAAAGAACGCAACACGAGTTGCTTTAAATGTGGCTCTAGTCGTCATACTAGCTTCTCATGTCCATACGCTGAGATTGGGTTCCAGGCTGCAAGAAGGGCCCGTATTCGGAGAGAAGGGGAAGAGAGCAATGAAGATTCCAAGGTTTACTTCCCACCTCGTCAACACAATGGGAAAGATAAGCCTCGCAAGGTTGAGTATCCTGCCTCACCTGAGCGAAGCAATATATCTAGATCTTCCACTAACTGGAAACAAAAATTGTCAAGAACCCCTCGCGCTTTGTCACCTTTTCGCCACCACAAACAGGCACAATATGTTATGAATGATGAGCACTGGAGATATTCTTGGGATAGACTTAGAGACAGTTGTGATATAATGCTAGAGAACTGAGTTGTAGACTTTAGAAGGGATTATTATTTGCTAAAGTATAATGGATAAAGTGTGTGATCTGTGTTGGACACTTTTGGGGGCAGTGCCTGACCACCTGTCTAAATACATGAGAAGCTGGTCCGTGCACTGCTATCACTTCTCAACATCCTGATCCTCAACAGATCTCTACAACCACTACGTAGCTTACCTCAATTGTGTAGGCACAGTGACTATATTAATCCATGACCTAGACCATGCACGTCTCTACGTTATGTTAGCACGGACTAGGATTACAACACAATATGCTGAAAATGACCCCAATGATGAGTCCCAGTCCAATGATGAAGAATTTGGTGGCCTCTTGTGGGAAAAGCGCAGTAAGATCCCACCTTCCACTTGGGCCGCTGACTCCGGCTGTACATCTCCAATGACTGACAACAAAAATCTCTTCAGCTCAACATTAAAACCTTATTGGAGAAGGATACAAGTTGGTGGAGGTTTTCTCTATTTGGTCGGTATAGGTACAGCTATGTTAAAGTTAAAAGATGGAAGATATATTTTACCATCAAACACTCTTTTTGTACCAGGACTAGGATGTAATTTATTATCTGTAAAGAAAATGGTTACAGGAAATAGTTGCCTCGGCCAGTTTAATTCTAATCAAATGATTTTTATCAATATTCATTCCAAAAGTAATCTTATTGAGGCAGAAATTTATAGAGGACTCTACATATTCTCGAAAATATCTGATGATGCCAATAGTCAGATATTTGGTAATGCTAGAATATTACCTGAGATTGCATCAACACAGGTCAAAACTCAAGAAAATAGCATGCCTAAATCATTTGAAGCAATGGAGGATATATCGGTTTTGAATACTAACCCCACAGATAAAGTAGAATCAGATTCTTCCCTTGACAACTACGACTTGACTGGATATGTCAGCAATAAATTGAAATATGGGAGGAATAAATTTGGAAATGAAATCGAAAAAAGGGAAAATAATGCCGTGATCTGAAACATTAGAAAATTAAAGGATGACAACCTAAAAGGCTCTAAAAGCTTAGAATCTTTGTTTAAAGAAAGAAAGATGCAACGAGAACTTTCTCGTTGCTCCTAATATCATAGGAGATTCTGTCATGCAAGCTCTCAGGCGCTTTCTCTTCTTCATACAGTATGCAATATAAAGAAAATTATGATTCCTGGAAAAATACCATTGTGTGAAATCCGCGCAGCACAAAAGATCAGGAAAAGACAATCAAAGAAATTAGCTGAGCACGCAGCAGAACCCTGGGCACTGGTATCATTTTAAATTGCTGGCCTGTTTCCACCCTCTTACCGTGGGTATAGATACTTTGGGGAACTGATAGATAATTGGAGCCACAAGACTTGGACACTACTCCTCAAAGATCGCAAGGATGTACTATCCGCGTTAAACCTATGGAAAGCCAAGGTTGAAATGCAATCAGGAGCTAAGGTCAAAGCCTCTCGTACAGATAATGCACTAGAAATTCTACAAACTTTAAAAGAATTGGAAAAACAAGGTGTGTCGATGCAGCATACTGAACCTTATACCTCAGCTCAGAATGGCCCTGCTGAACAATTAATACAGTCTACTGAGGTAAGCATAAGATGTATGCTTGACAATGCAAAGCTTCCCGTAGAATTTTGGTTTGAAGCTGCACAGGCACAGGCGTATACACGTGCTCGGATGCAGCGTGTTCCAATGATTGTAGAAGAAATTATTGACAATACTACAAAAAAACCTGTAAAAATTGAGTATCAGATATCTCCCGAGGATGCTTTCACTCGTAAAGTCCCACTCGTTCACAATCATATTTAAACATGGGGCTGCAAAGTTATCACACATGTACCCAGATCCTCTTTACCTGGCCGTAAAGACAAATTTATGTCTTCTGGGAGGGAAGGAATTTTTATGGGATATAGTGACAATACAACGGCCCATTATAAAGTCTATGCACCGGATATGCACACAACTATCACATCAAGCAATTATATTTTTTTCGAAGACGTGCCTGGGCAAGCTATTGCTAATTATCAGTTATGAATAGAGCTTTCTAAAGGTAAATTTAAGGAAAGTGACAGTAGCTATAATTTTATGTCCATTCGAAACAGACGAGGCAGACCAAATGATGATAAAGGCATTGACAATGTTGTAGAACCAATTGCAACCACTGTGTCTAATTAAACCGAAAATATAACAATTCCAAATACTAAACATAAAATTCAGTCCCTGGAGCCTCTTACAAATCTTCCTTTGTACAAGAAATATGAAAATTTCGACAAAGACATATTTGCCTCTGCCTCAGCCGATGATTTGGATCAAGCTATCACAAAAATCTCTTCAGACAATATTTCAAATACAATTACAAGTAAAAATATTTCTGGTGCAATTGTGGACTCTACCATCACTGAAAATATTCCAAATAGTACACCAAATACTTCAACAGTTGATAATAATCCTAAAAACTCTCAGACTAATGACATTGAAAACAACCAAGGCGAATTAAAAACTCATGACATATCAAATCCAGTTATAAAGAGAAAGGCTGTAAATTTTGATGACATTATCAAGACAATTCCCGTGGCTTGTTGAGATCAGGTAATAAGAGACAACTTGAGGACGACAATAATAGTGATAGGAAAATTTCGAAAAGATTAATGGTGATGAAAGCATTACTTGCCTGGTTTAACAATACAGATGTTGACATCAAAACAAGCGAATCCGTAATGATTGTTAAAGTCATGAGCTTGAGCAAAGATGGAGATTATAGCAGAATCAGTGTCGGCGGTTAGACCAATGCAGTAAGTCTTGCATGAGGTTGTGAGAGGAAGATCCGAGTGGAAACAATTGTATTTAGATGTATGGTTCAGAGTAAAACCGAGATGATAAGAGTGGGATTGCGTGTTTGCATATCTTAGCAACTGTGGTTTTTGACCAGTATTTATCAATCTCCATGGATCGTAAGTTATGATCCATGTTGATGTAGATCTATGTACATACACATATATGGGCCAGGAATATAAAGCTAAATATATGTGTATCGGTAATAGATACGAGAAAACTATAACCTGCATTTAAGACATAGTCATCTGCTAGAATTCTAGTGTGAAATAAACGCTAATGCGCATT